ATGAAGAATTCAACAAAGAGAAGCGTAATAGATATCATGGGATTGTACTACATAATTTTGTAAGAGCAAGGATTGAGTATGTCACTAGTTGAATTAATGCAGTGGTGTAAAAATTAAAAATTTTAATTATTGTACAAAATCCAGAAACTAAACCGAATCGAACCAAGTTCCATAATTAAATTTGAATCCGACGATTCCACTTATTAAATACCTAAAAATTTGTTGCATACCTATTTCGCTGGGGTTTTGTTGGGCCTTGTACAACAAGCTTTATTGATTTCTTTGGCAAGACTTTCATAGGCATGGTAAAGGACTTGTTATAAACTTCACCACAAAGATGTAATGCTCTTATTTTTGCTTACCAATAGCTTACTGAGAAGGAAAAATAATGTGCAAAGTTCTCAGAATTCGCCTTTGAGGACAATGGAAGCGGAAAATTGTCGATTTGCTTATATTAAAACTTATGTTGCTCCTGTGAGGCATATGTTCTATCGAATTGATCCACTTGTCATCTCTTTTCTTCTTACATTTACCATTTTCAGCTTATATTGTGCAAAATAATTGCCATAACAAGAGTAGAAGGTTTCTTTGATGATAATGGCATTAATAAAATTTACCGAAAACGCGTGAAAAAGAAAATTCAACTTATCATTGAGAATTTGTTAATATCATTTTCGTAGGACACTTAATCCTTGTTTCCCTGAATTTTCCAAAACCGACTAAATCAAAAGAAGAACGTGTGCGAGGAGACTGGCTGATTGGGACCCTTGAAATGAATTCATTGATCAATCAATATAAAAATTGTACCAAGTCAATTTATATAACAAATTTCATAACTAATTCCAGGTTCGATTGCGTATGGTATACATGCTTTGGATTCAAATGTTCAAGAGAAATTAATTAGTAAACAAATTAACCTATTTTCAACTCCCCTTCATTCAAACTAATAGTCAGCTAGAAGCTGTAATGAAATCTCATGCGTAGTTCTGCTTGACATTTCAAACTCTAGACGTCTATCTATACATAATCCCCGCCATAAATCATCTCAAAATTTCAGTTTTTAGACATCATACTATTGGATGACTATGCCAATATTTTGACCTGCACGTGGAAAATATGGCGTTTTCTAATTTTTTTTTTTAAAAAAAATATATATAGTTTTATAGATAGATAAAAGTAAAGTAAAGGAAAATTATTTTCTAGAATGTCTTCTCAAAGGTCGAAAAGATACGCTGCCAGAAACTCTCCACCGCCGAGTGCCCCGTGGGCCTTTGACCAACCACCGCCAACAGGCATACCAGTTTCACCTCCTAACTATAACTATTTTGACAATTACCAAATACCTCCACCACGATCACCACCACCGCCACCGCCACCGCCACCGTTACCTCAAGCTCATGTTAGCACTCCAGGGAAGTGGTCTACTGGTCTCTGTGGTTGCTGCTCCGATATTCCAAACTGTGAGTTCTTATTGATGTCAATTCTTGTTAATTGTTTTCACTTCTATCAAATTTAGCCTACTAAAGATGCTCTTAAATTATAAAGTTCTTAGGTAATATTGGACCTGTTTGTCTAATAACCGAATTTGCAGGTTGTATAACATGTTGGTGTCCGTGCATAACATTCGGTCAGATTGCTGAGATTGTAGACAAAGGATCTACTTGTAAGTAAATAGACAAAATGATTATGATTTCATGCCAGAACCCCTCATCTATGATCTCAATTGCCAATGATGTTGATATTTTTCTTTTCAAATATAGTGCACGTTCGGTTTTGATTTTTCATCCAAAAAAAATTAATTTTTTTACCGTTACTTTCCTAAGTCGATTGTCATTTTTTTTACTTCTTCTCTATCAAGTGAATCCATTTTTCTTTATAGCAATTAAAAAATCAATTCTCATAATCATTACCGAACAAGCCCACAGAAAATTATAAAATTTTCTAGCTAGCATTATTCAAAAAATAATTAGAAATCAAAACCGCGAACAAACGATTTAATTGTTTATGAATTTTTTTGTGGCAGCCTGTGGAGTAGGTGGAGTACTTTACACTCTTATAGCCCTTACGGGATGTGCGTGCTTATATTCTTGCTTCTATCGTTCAAAGTTGAGAAGGCAATACATGCTGCCGGAGACTCCATGTGCAGATTGTTGCGTTCATTTTTGTTGTGAATGTTGTGCCTTGTGCCAGGAGCATCGTGAGCTTAAAAACCGCGGATTTGATATGTCTATTGGTACTTAATAAACTTTTCTTTCCTCTCTAAAATTTTGCCACAGACATCATACTATTGGATGACTATGCCAATATTTTGACCTGCACGTGGAAAATATCGCGTTTTCTAATTTTTTTTTTTTTTTTTTAAATATCTAGTTTTATAGATAGATAAAAGAAAAGTAAAGGAAAATTATTTTCTAGAATGTCTTCTCAAAGGTCGAAAAGATGTTTCATTAAAAATGTCATTTTCTTACTTGACTAGGTCTACATATATCTTTTCGAATGGGGGTAACATATCTTTTTTATTTACCTGACTGAGATATTTGTGGGTGATGTGAAAATTTGTAGGATGGCAAGGAAATGTGGAGAGGCAGAATCCTAGAATTACAACGGCACCAAACATTCATGGAGGAATGAGTCGATAAGTGGTTGGCTTCTGCTATCCAATTGTAGACGGTGGCCATTATATTTGATGAGACAAATATTTTTCTTCTTTCTTGTGGCATGGGGTGTGAATTAGGTAATGCTTATAGTTGTTTCCTCTCTAAGTAATTTATGTAATTAAGGTCAAATTCCATGATACAAGAAACATTAGTACCTATAATAAATTTATAAATATTTCAGTTTGTTTCAAAATTTTGCCCTCATTAATGTATTATCTTATTAATTTCTTCGGTGTTTAAAATTGAAACTAGAATCACGTTCACAAATCTCCCTATTTAGTCAATTTAAAAGAATAGTACAAATGTCTTAAAAATGACAATTTATTTAGAATTTTCTTTGTCGAAGTTTATTTTAATATCCATTTAATATATATTCAAACCATTCAACTTTGTTATCGCAATAAGTATACGTACAAAAGTAATTCTTGTCAAAGGAAAATATATATAGAAATAATTAAGACCTTCATTTTGCTTATAGCCTTTAGCGACAAGTCTAATTTTATATCTGTCAATCAATCTATCCACTTTTATTTTCTTTTTAAAAGTTTATTTACACCCCAATGGTTTATTGTAGGAAGAAAGATCTACTACTTCTCATGTATGATTTTGTAGTATGAATTTAATTTCACCATGAACAGCTTCTTTCCCATATGAAGTTTTGGTCGATGACATAGTCTCTTTATAAGTAGTTCTGCTTGACATTTCAAACTCTAGACGTCTATCTATACATAATCCCCGCCATAAATCATCTCAAAATTTCAGTTTTTTCAATAGTTTTAATCCCATTTCGATATGGATCCCTTAGATCCATACGCTGCCAGAAACTCTCCACCGCCGAGTGCCCCGTGGGCCTTTGACCAACCACCGCCAACAGGCATACCAGTTTCACCTCCTAACTATAACTATTTTGACAATTACCAAATACCTCCACCACGATCACCACCACCGCCACCGCCACCGCCACCGTTACCTCAAGCTCATGTTAGCACTCCAGGGAAGTGGTCTACTGGTCTCTGTGGTTGCTGCTCCGATATATATCTTTTCGAACGGGTGTAACATATCTTTTTTATTTACCTGACTGAGATATTTGTGGGTGATGTGAAAATTTGTAGGATGGCAAGGAAATGTGGAGAGGCAGAATCCTAGAATTACAACGGCACCAAACATTCATGGAGGAATGAGTCGATAAGTGGTTGGCTTCTGCTATCCAATTGTAGGAAACTGTGAGTTCTTATTGATGTCAATTCTTGTTAATTGTTTTCACTCCTATCAAATTTAGCCTATTAAAGATGCTCTTAAATTATAAAGTTCTTAGGTAATTTTGGACCTGTTTGTCTAATAACCGAATTTGCAGGTTGTATAACATGTTGGTGTCCGTGCATAACATTCGGTCAGATTGCTGAGATTGTAGACAAAGGATCTACTTGTAAGTAAATAGACAAAATGATTATGATTTCATGCCAGAACCCCTCATCTATGATCTCAATTGCCAATGATGTTGATATTTTTCTTTTCAAATATAGTGCACGTTCGGTTTTGATTTTTCATCCAAAAAAAATTAATTTTTTTACCGTTACTTTCCTAAGTCGATTGTCATTTTTTTTACTTCTTCTCTATCAAGTGAATCCATTTTTCTTTATAGCAATTAAAAAATCAATTCTCATAATCATTACCGAACAAGCCCATAAAAAATTATAAAATTTTCTAGCCAGCATTATTCAAAAAATAATTAGAAATCAAAACCGCGAACAAACGATTTAATTGTTTATGAATTTTTTTGTGGCAGCCTGTGGAGTAGGTGGAGTACTTTACACTCTTATAGCCCTTACGGGATGTGCGTGCTTATATTCTTGCTTCTATCGTTCAAAGATGAGAAGGCAATACATGCTGCCGGAGACTCCATGTGCAGATTGTTGTGTTCATTTTTGTTGTGAATGTTGTGCCTTGTGCCAAGAGCATCGTGAGCTTAAAAATCGCGGATTTGATATGTCTATTGGTACTTAATAAACTTTTCTTTCCTCTCTAAAATTTTGCCACAGACATCATACTATTGGATGACTATGCCAATATTTTGACCTGCACTTGGAAAATATCGCGTTTTCTAATTTTTTTTTTTTTTTTTTAAATATCTAGTTTTATAGATAGATAAAAGAAAAGTAAAGGAAAATTATTTTCTAGAATGTCTTCTCAAAGGTCGAAAAGAACAAATGACTTTTCATGTTTCATTAAAAATGTCATTTTCTTACTTGACTAGGTCTACATATATCTTTTCGAATGGGGGTAACATATCTTTTTTATTTACCTGACTGAGATATTTGTGGGTGATGTGAAAATTTGTAGGATGGCAAGGAAATGTCGAGAGGCAGAATCCTGGAATTACAACGGCACCAAACATTCATGGAGGAATGAGTCGATAGGTGGTTGGATTCTGCTATCCAATTGTAGGCGGTGGCCATTATATTTGATGAGACAAATATTTTTCTTCTTTCTTGTGGCATGGGGTGTGAATTAGGTAATGCTTATAGTTGTTTCCTCTCTAAGTAATTTATGTAATTAAGGTCAAATTCCATGATACAAGAAACATTAGTACCTATAATAAATTTATAAATATTTCAGTTTGTTTCAAAATTTTGCCCCTATTAATGGATTATATTATTAATTTCTTTGGTGTTTAAAATTGAAACTAGAATCACGTTCACAAATCTCCCTATTTAGTCAATTTAAAAGAATAGTACAAATGTCTTAAAAATGACAATTTATTTAGAATTTTCTTTGTCGAATTTTATTTTAATATCCATTTAATGTATATTCAAACCATTCAACTTTGTTATCGCAATAAGTATA